AACCCCGTCTCCCGTTTGATTATAACAGCAAATTCCATTTTTTGCTTTGGCAGTCTCAAAATAAGTGTCAGTTCGAAAAGAAAAATAGGGGTGTACAATGGCATTGCGTAATAAAGATTCTGTGAAAGTCTCATAAAAGTTTATTCGGTGGTATATGTGGAGTTGAAGATAAGAGATGGTACCCCTCAATATTATAGAAAATTGGCAGTGTCCATGTTATAACCATTGTGTGCTGTTGAAAGCCATGGTCGTCTTATGTTTGGTGTTTTATTGTATGATCATAATTATATAGTGAGGGTTCATTATTTTATGCTGCAGATTCTTAATTATATGCGGTTTCATTATTATATGCTATGGGTTCATTATTGACATTTAATGTATGTTTAGGGTATAATAAAATGCTGTGATGTGGTTTTATAATAACATGCTGTTGTTTCATAACTATTTGTTGTGGTTTATTTAAACAATAAAATGCTTTCTTTGTTTGTTATTAGTGGAATTAACGGAAGCAGCTGTTGCATAAAAAATACATAACCCGCTTGCGCGTGTTATGTAAATTTTTTCTGCAATAGCTGCGACCGTTAATTCCAGTAATAATAAACAAAGAAAGACATTTTATTGTTTATATTTATATCTGTTTAAATAATCATTTAAAGTAGGATTAAAAAGATTAATTATTGTATTAATGATGCGAACGTCTTTATACGTTTCATTGATGGAACAGCCACTGATCAAGAAATTTGTACAGGCGACATGCCTATACTGTAGTTCATGCAGTGATTAACGCAATGGGTTTTCTTAAGAAATAAAGGAGAAAATATTCAGTGGATGTAAATATGATTATATGGATGCTTAAATTATAAGTAGTGGTTCATTTGATATGGTAGATTCAGACCTGAAAAAATAACTGCAGATCTTGCATGCGATTTTTTTGCACATGAATTCAAGGCATATAAAAGGCATGGTGAGATTGAGAAACGAGTGTGTTAAATATGGAACCATGAAACAAGCGTAAATTGAAATCCCTCAACACCCATTTAATCAGCTTTGAGGAATATGTCGCCATTACTGTTTAGGAAATTTATAAGAACCCTTAGATTTAATTTAAACAAACCATAGCATATAATTATGAAATCACAACATATAGTTATGTACCCACAGCATTAAATTATGAACCCTCAGCATATGATACATGTAATAGACCTTCATCATATAATAATATACCTACAGCATAATAATGATCCACAACATTTTTTAAAAAATATCTAACATAGGACAGGCATGGCGTTCCGTAGTCCCTGATGCAAAGAGATAATTTAGAATAATGACGACACATACATGTATCGTTGTATTAACTTAGTTTTCTAGCATATATGGGCATGTAATTACGGTATTAATCGTTGGCAACCCATAGAAGAACTTTTCAATCATCAACTTTCCTTACTTATATGCAGCAATATACCTTCAACACGTGCATACGCAGTTTATATCTCTCAGTTGATTCTATGCGCACGAGCTTGTTCTACTTTTAATTTTGTTAAAAACGAGTTAAGGTATTGAAAAGCAAGATGCTGAAACAAGAATATCAACAGTATTGTTTAAAGATATTATTTCGTATACAATTTATCATTAAGTCAAATGCTGACTTACGTTTTTATACCCTCCGCTTGAAAAGTGGGAGAGTATATAGTAGTCAGGATGTCTGTCCATCTACACGTCCGTCCGTCCGTTTGTGCGTCCGTCTATTACGCTTTGGGGTACCTATCTCTTATCCACAAAACTCCTCTCATACTACTGAAATTTGACTTTCAGAGAATCTTCGTTACATATGCCATTGTGCATCTCCTATTTTACTTTTTGATCCGACACATATTTTGGGTTTCCCACAGTAAAGCATGGACACTGCCATTATATTCATATGGGAGGCGGGGGTATCATTTAGTGAGCTCATTGCTTACATTTCCTCTAGTTATACTAATTGTTAGGCCATTATGCACACACTGAGTTCTCGACGGATTTCCCCGTTATTCCCAGATCCCGACAATTAGCACAAAACGGATGTGCCCAGTCGGCAGGGGATGCTCTCTCTTGCATGGTACCTGATCCCACCTCTGATGTTTTGGGGGTCTCCTGTTTGCTCTGCTCCTGTTTTGTAATGTTAAATGGACTTCTGAGTTTGAATACTGTTTGTGATCTCCATATGTTTTATCAAGAAACTGTACCTTTATGATAAGGAGGAAATAAAGATTGATTTCTTTAACACTCTTACATAACAAAAATGTTTTGGCAATTGGGTTATTGAAAAAATTATAGATTTTAAAGATCAAGCTAGTCAAATTGTGTTTCACATTTTGCATGATGTTCTGGATATTTGAAGTAAAAATCTAAGAGTTGTGTTTATTAAAACGTTGTAGGTTGTCTGTTTAAAATCTTAAATTTCGATTTGGCTCAAAAGGTTTCAAAATTAAAATTTAAAAGTTATCAATAAATAAAAACGTTAACTGTGTTTAGAGTTAACCTCCTGATAATAAGATTGTTCAAGACTTTAAACCTTTGGGAATTAGAATTTTGAACATTTAAGGTAGAACTTTGAAAAATAAAATTAAAAAAAACAGAAGTTTCGAAATTCAAATTTTTGAACTAAAGTGCACTTGTATTGAATTTCAAAATCAGAATCAATTTGAGTTTTGAAAATTCAATTTAAATAATAAATTTATATGTACCTCTTATTCACTTTAGAAATTTGAATTGCTTACTGTCACATAAACCCAGTAATTCAGTTCTGTCGTCCGCTTCATGAGCAGATTAAAGTCTTTTGTTTGTTCTTACGATGGAATTGATCTTGTTTAGTCAGCGAAACCTATCAAATAAGACGATATTTCAGATGCAAGGTATTGCCAATTCAAAAGATGTCGCTTACGATATAAAGTGCTAGGAAGAGATAGTGTGTGCTGGGCTGGGAAGATAAAACGGAAAGCTATGTAGAGTTACAGTGTACAGTTCATGCCATAACCCGTGGTTGTTTTCTGAAACGCAGCCACTCGAAATTTAAAAGTACATTTAATAATAATCTAAATATCGAATTTAATGTGACGAAATGTAAATTTAAAATGTTCTCTATCAAGTAAAGAGTTCATTGACTCATCTATTTGTAAAGTATATATTTAGATATTGTACGTACCAGTAATAAACACTACGTGAAACCCCTTATAGATTGTCATGTCCGAATAAACACAAATTCATGAATTAAATATAAAACTTTTGTTGCGGGAACTGACAAAATAAACAATTGATACGCCAAAACATGCTAAAAATGTGTTTCAATTCCATACAAAAGAGTTAAGAGCTTAAAAAGAGTAAGACAAATGTTCCATTTAAATATGCAAATTTGTGCAATGTCAAAACAACTGATTTATAGCGGAGATATGCAAAACACAACTGGATAATGGATGTAGATCGTGTCTACTTAAGACGACACGTTGAAAGAAGGTTTATAATTAAAAACCGTTACGGCAACGAGTTCGAATCACGACCGCGAATGACCTAAGTAGATTTAATAATGCTGATGCTGTTCCTTCGCCCTCCATTATCGAATCGATCTCCGATGAACATGTTGAAGCAGGATAATAATCAAAATAATTATCATAATAAGACATTGATCAATTCAGGTAACCCTGATATTAAATCATAATATCATGCAGACAACATACCAGCACTAAAAATAAAAGGAATGGAAACTTGTATCTACCACTGGACATTTAAGGTACTTGGACACAGATTTGAAGTTATTATTTTCTCTATAATATTACGACTTATATATTTTAATAGCATTTCACACAAAAATTAACTAAAAATTTTTTTTTCATATAAAAGATAATAAAATTTAAAATTTTTTGGCGGGTTTGATTGACACATCCTTGCACTTTCACAAATTAATTTTATTCTTAATCCTTAGGAAAAGTGGCAATCTCTTTTGTATATGAAAAATATTAATACTATAATCCAGAAAATTCAGAGTAGACATGTTCGAAAGCAAAACAAACACACAATATATTGTCAGTCCGTGCAGTTGTGGTAAGCACTGTGAGCACCCGGTGAATTGTAAACATAAACAATAACAGAACTCGTGCCCTATTTACAAATACTGTGTACATAACACGAGTGTGCTCGATTTGCTAAACTCTGTACGCAACTCTTACTTCGGAATGACATTTTTTTTGCTTTCATGCTACTCTGAATAAAATTATTTTTCTGGATAAAAGTTTTACTATTTCTTATTAGTACACAACGAGATTGCCACTTTTCCTAAGGATTAAGAATAAGGAAAAAATTTGTGAAAGTGCAAGGATGTGTCAATTATACCCGCCAAAAAATTTGAAGTTTTAATAAATTTTTAATGAAATAGATTTTTAATTATTTTTTGTGTGAAATGCTATTAAAATATATAAGTCGTAATATTATAGAGAAAATATTGACTTCAAATCTGAGTCCAAGTACCTTAAATGCTACTGATATTTTTATGTGATCGACAATAATAGTGAGAGAAAGCAAGTTAAAAATAATAAATTATTCAAGTCATAAAATATATTCATATAAATATATTCACATATATATATAAAATAGGTGTTATTATTCGAAGCAACATATAAGATAAAAATGAAATCCAGTAAAATTTGATTTTGAATTCACTCTTTTTACAACAATTCGCAAAGTTAAAAATATTTGAATAATATAAAATTGAAATGAGAGAGAGAGAGAGAGAGAGAGAGAGAGAGAGAGAGAGAGAGAGAGAGAGAGAGAGAGAGAGAGAGAGAGAGAGACTCGGACTTCTGAAGAAAAACAGAGAATTGACAATATGTAAAATATTTATTGTAAACATAGAATTATGCAAAAGTCAACGACTATTATTAAAATCATGTTTACTAACTAATTGCTAATAACACAAATACTAGTTAAAACTTAAAAAAAAAGATAACAAAATTAAATTCATCACGACAATAAAATCAAAACAACATTTTTTAATTATAAGGAAATAGACAATTCATTATGAATGGAAGGACGGAATGGCAGGTCAAACATGAGTATTTAAAATTATATTCACATTTATAAAATATTTTTAAAAATAATGTGCACATCAATTTATTGCTAGAAGTCATTAGAAGCTGAAGATATAAATAAATAAGCAGACTGTATACCTCAATAAACAAGTCAATAAAATATTAAAAACAGTTCTTGACAACTTTTTGTCGCTTGTAAAGCAGCAGCATTGAAACAAAAATTAAGTAGCTACATGAGCATATAGACAAAAAACTTCAATCTCAGTTCTCTCTTATGTATCTTTTAATATTTCACCAACTTTTCAAAAGTCATTGCAAGAAAACAGTGATTAATAAAGGTTTAAACACTCACATAGGGGGACCTTACTTGTGCGCTGTTAGTGCGTAGTTCCAGGTCGCTTATCTCGAACAATTTCGAAAAATAAAGGAATATAAAAAATTATATGCACCACTTACGTAAAATGGTTATTCTAAGATATCCAAAGGGTGTATAGCCCTTCTACAGACTGTGTTGACTAGATCTGCGTTAATATTAAAATTACTTTTTTATTGGCTTTCCTAGTAGACTTTAAGCTAGTAAAAGTTTCCTTTAGACTAGTGTAAATTATAAAAATACTCTTGGTAATTTTTGAGCTATGAGAGCTGCCTTATTATTAAGAAGTGCTTTTTTGCGAACTTCCACACCCATTACAATCAATGGTCAAAGCCATTGAAGACACCGATTTATCTTTTTTTCTACATTAATCTTGATTTGTTTGATAAAAACATAAATAAAAAATAGTTTTTTAAAAAATAACAACAAAAACCCTGCTGCAATGGATATTTTCAACTCCTAAAAACGCATATTTTAATCAGCCATAGTGAATTTTTTTTTTACAAAGCTGTTTGTTTCCGTGACTAAACAGATGACCAAAAACCATTTTGGAGTTTTTTTTTCATATAGATCATTACCATTAAAGTATGTAACCATGATACATAATAAAATTAGTCTTATATTAAGCAGATATTCTTTATGCAGAACGAATGTGTATAATGTAAGAAAGCAAAATGATTGATTACATGTATTATTTGTAATTATACATTTCACACTAAATGATAAAAATCGAACACAAAGTTTGACAATACAAACTGAACAATCTATTTAAAATGATTGTTTATGTTGTCAAGGAAGTAAAAGAACAATTCAAAAAAAAAAATAAGAATAAAACAAAATCGTCCCAAGGTTAAAATAAAATACAAAACAATCACACATGCCTTTAAAGTTTTTGTTAATTTGTTATGAAAGAAACAAAAGAATTCAAGGAAAAAAGCCAAGAATGACATAAAACCTTTGCCTGATTATTGCAAATTCAGGTTATTTATCAAGATGGCGGCGGTTTTTTCCTCATTATGCAATGCATTCAATCACATCTAGTAATCAAGACACCTCCCAAGTACAAAAGCATACAGAAGCACGTCAACAGTTTACCCTTAATCAAAACTAAGTAGAAAAAAATGCATAATCTCTTATGATAATAAACGTGGAAGGAGACCCCATGCTACCATTCATTATTTCGACTTTGTCCGATCCTTCACCAAAAATTTAATTAACAAACATTTCATCTTTCGAAATATTCTGGTTTTTTTGCATTTCAAGAATAGAATTATAATTTCAGTGAACATTTCTCGGCGCAAATCAATAAGTAGGGTTTCCCTTCAACATCCATATCAATCATATATTATGATCTTTGGCATTTAACTTCATTCATCTAAATTCTCAAATATCCATCATTATTGCTGAAGATCTTTTTCGAACAATTTAAAAGAAGTCTTAACATGCGTGTGTGTGGTATTGTATGCAATCCGAAACTTATATCCAACCTCATATCCATGCTGCGATATAATGCAGCTAATTTCATTTGCTTTATCATCTTTAAAGGAATGTTCTCCTAGTCTAATTAAAGAGTTACTGGACGGTTTGATATGAAGTTTTTGAGCAAGAAATCCTATAAAAACATCATCAAATGGAATATACGGAATATATGACATAACATTAAAGAATTGATTTACTGTATTCTTATTCAGAAATATACTAGCACCTGCTATATAGGGTGGATAACACAGATAAGGATAGTCCTTTTCAGATATATAATGCTTACTTTCATTATTTCGATCTGGAAGCGGTTCCTTGATAAGATATCCACTATAAAGATAATTATGTCTATCCATATCTGCTTGCAAAATGAAATTGATGGTGTTTAGAACATTCACGTACATATCATCATCCACTATGAGTATATAGCTTGCACGTTTGCAATATTTTAATATCCAATCAAATGCCATCATAATTTTATAAGTATTATTTGCGTAAGAGTCCTGAAAATCTTGTTGAATGATATCCTTGTGAAACTCGTGTTCATAATCCACGAACACTCTATCCGACTCGCTGTACCCAAGAAGAAAGGAAACTCTGAATCCTCTTTTTTTAGCATCTTTGCCCCATGTTTCTCTGATAAAACGCCTCTTCCTAAAATTACCAGCCGCTGATTTCACAAGTACAAGTAAAGTTGTTCTTGAATATTTCTTACATGTTTTGTTAGGGTTGTAAATGTATGTAAAGTTGTTAATGTTTAAAGAGTTGGCTTTTCCAGTTAAAATTTCATCTAGCGAAACATTTGAATATCCAAAATCCTTCTCACAATAGTATTCATTTGTATTTATTGGAGGGGGTGGTAAGGTACTCGTGTTGTTAAGAACAAATATTACCACAGTCAAAAACAAAATATACTGCAATATCAAAGACAGTTGAAAACGAGGTGGTCGTATGATGTTCAGGAATGAGAATCTTAGCCCTTCTTTCCTTGAAAAAGGAAATTAAAAAAGATAATTAAGAGCAATATCCAATACATTAAATGAATGTTAAATATATTTGTAAAGAAACATTAATGTATTTGAATTACATGTAAACGAGTATAGTTTTCGTAATCTTTATTATAAACCATATATCCAAACTTCTGATATTACAGACATATGAATTTTATATTCTTAAAAAGAGAGTAAAATTTATATGAAATATCAATTAAGTAATATATAAAGTTATAAAAAATAAAAAGGAATAATTCTATTTCTTCAAGGACAGGAATACCATATAATTTAAAGATATAACAAAATAAAAAAGAATACTTACAACATGTTCTTCACCTGCAAAAAGAAATATACATATTTATTACTAATTAACGATTTCTACAAGACATCGATTGATTCCTATGTAGTATGGAAAGGAGGAATGAGTAAACATACATTGAAAATTCATAAATACATATATATTGAAAACATATGGCTGGACCGGGAATCAAACCAGGGACCTCAACTGGTTTTAACTTACTAGTCAGGTGCTCTACACACAAAAAAACTGAGCTATAAAAAAAGAATGTCACTTAAAATAGTTAAAATGTTTCCTAATTTTTTTGAATGAAGGCATTCCCCCTTTTTTTAATCCTTATTTGAATTTTACACGTCTTCACTATTTTTCAATCCGAAGACACAATCTCAATCATTCACCTTGTCTCTGGACTTAACATTAATTTTGAATTATACATTGCCTGAACAAGGTAGGCCATATCACCATCTGTAGTATGGAAAGGAGGAATTTTTTCTCTGAGTAAACATACATTGAAAATTCAAAAATACATATATATTGAAAACATATCTATGGCTGGACTGGGAATCGAACCCGGAACCCCTGTATTTCTAGTCATGTGCTCTAACCACTGAGCTATCCAGGCCGATGTCCTCAGTCCAGCCTAATTTCCTACACCTATATTCATTGGAGCAACTTAATTTCAGAAAAATATGTCATAAAAATTACCGGTAGATAAATTTCTGTGAAACCTAAACAAATAACGGAGCAATAGTAGATTTTTTGTGACCTGCGATATCTTATAAGACAGTAACTCAACTGGTTTTAACTTACTAGAAAGGTGCATTTAATTGACTTACACATTCATTGAGTTTAACACCCCTGTTTAAACAGTGAAAATTTATTCACCTCTAAAAAAAACAGACAAGAGCAGAATATAAAAAAAGAATTTAATACACCTAAAATAATTAAAATGTTTCCTTTTAGTTTTTTTTTAATGGAAGCAATCACTTTTTTTAATCGAGGATAACCATTATTTGAATTTTACACGGTCTTCATCTATTTTTCAATCTTATGAAAGAGGCTCATTCAATCGGTAATCATTTACGATTATAAAATCTTTTCTCTGTAGGATCATCTGATCAGTTTGGCTGTAATTAATTTTGAATTTACTGGGAATAATTGATCTACCCCTGGGGACCTTGCAAGGGTTTTAACAAGAATTTTCCTATATCAGCTTCCTATAGCTAGAAACGCATAAGTGTCAGATGTACTGATTTTTTTCTCTATTCAGTCGTTACACATATAATTTACCCATGTTTCATAACTGCTTTGCTATCCTGAACGATGGACTAGAACAGTAAGCAATTGATTCTCAAGTTTCTCTGCGTGACAAATTATGTGCAGTTACATGATATTACGTGTATGAGGCACAATGTTGACGCACCAAATTATCTTTTTCATGGACAGATCTCTTGAGGTACACCTGTATTAACTGACACTTTCAGCTCAGAGTCAAGAATCATTTATTTTTATTTTTGGGGGTTTACACTTAGGTCGTGTGTACCTCATTTTCGTCAGAGAAATTATATCTAAATCAAATGAAAATGCTGAAAGCATTCTCGGTTGAACTGGTAATGGATTCTTTAAATAAGAATGGATTTAGCAATTAAAAGTGATTCAATAATATAACTTCTTATTCAATTTTATATTTGATTCATACAAGATGTTACCGATTTTATTAAAAAATAGCATCTTATAAGTTTTGATATTAAAAACTGCCAAACATTCCGGATCCCGATTTTTAATTTAAGTCAAACTTTTCGTCTGATTTTACAAAAGTTGTGATGGATAATATTGAAAAAAGATTTTTTATTTTGGATGAGTTAAAACCCTTGTCTGAAAAAATTTGAATTGTGCTCACTCTTTCCTATTCACATTAACATCAGTGAATAAAGTATTGTTTAAATTAAAATTGTGCTCAACAAAATCATCCTTCAGCTTAAACTCCAGCAGAAGACGGTAATGTAACATTCTGTTGTCAAGGTTATCATAAAGCCATTTTTTTTAAAAAAAGAGACTTGCATGTAACAACATTAAACAAAGTCAAAGAAACATTCGAATAACATTTTTTTTTTTAAAAAGGCAATCAATAATTAAACAAAACCCTCTCAAGGTTACATGAAACAAGTTTTTTCAGCTATAGTTCATTTGTCATTGGATAAAAAATCATATAAACATAAAGATTTTGCCATATCAATGAGAAATTAAAACCCTTTCTCTGAAAAATAAACCAATTTTTTCGTAATATTATTGATAATTTCAATATGTTTTATGCATACATATTTAATTTTCCATTTTAACTGATGGTTAGAATGTAGTAAAATATGTATGTATATTTTCTGTATTTTTGCTGTTGCATTTTTAGAGGTATATACTCCGGACGTTATGAAAATTAATGCAAAGATATGTTTTTATGGGTTTTTAGGCTTTGCGTTGATTAGTTTTCAGCTAAAAAATAAAGAGTCAGAGATATCACGTGATTGTTATTGCTAGTGGATGCTGCAAGTGTTTGTACACACCATTTTTTGTAAGAAAAACATATTAACGATTTCGGATTATTCATCTTGATCAATGCTTAATAATCAGTGGATTAGCAGCAGAGCATAGGACTTTATATACAGTTGATATCATATGTAAGTGGTGAAATCATTAATTAAACAAGACCCTCTCAAGTTTACATGAAACAATTACACAAGTTTTTTCAGCTATAGTCCATTTGTCATGGATAATCTAAAGAAAAGATGCCATATCAATGAGTTAAAACCCTTGTCTGAACTATTCCAATATCACGTTATTGATTAAAATGGTCTCAACGGCCCACTTCCTCATTAAGGCTTGGAATTCTAAAATATAAAATAATCAAGACACAAATACAAAATCACAAAATAATTACGTCAGCATTTACGAGGGGTGATCAAAAAGTTCGCGAAATATCTATATATCTACAAAACCACAATTCAGATTAGAAAAAAAATTTGGTACATACATAGCCATACACAAGCTCTATAAATAGCATATTCTGAATAAAGTTTTGCTCCTTGTTTGTGACCTCACAATGTGAAAATGACGTCACTATTTAGATCACTTGTGACGGAAAATGGTTGTCTCAGTCGTACTCGTTCAACTAACGACTGTACAATTTATTGAATATCTTAGAAATCCCTTTGCAGAAGCATATAATATTTTGTACACAGTTTATTAAGACAAATGGCTTTTAATAAATTTAATCAATGATTGGATTGAACATTTTAGTGAAGGAAGGGAGATGGTGAAAAATGATACTTGTTATGTTGCCCAGTGAAAGCAACTTCGAAAAGTGTTTTTTTTTTAAAGCAATTTGCTACTAAAGACCTCCAGTTTACACATTGAAAAATAGTTGAATATTTGAACAATAATATAATTATTAAATACCTAAGATATCTTTTAATTTAGATTTTAAACATATTAGATATGATAAAAAGGAGGCACCCATTCTCTATCCACCTTAAATAAACGTTTCTCCCGAGCCAGAAGATTTGGGTTTTAATGGTCGCAATGCTTATTTTTGGAAAGGATATTCTTATCCACCCATTCTGTAGCCGAGATTTGACCATTTCTGACAAATGAACTGTTCTTGTTATAAAAATTAACTTACATGGAAGTTAATATAAAACTCAGAAAAGTATTTCAACTTTTGTGACAGAACGCTACAGAGGTGGTCACGTGACCGCCTCTATCACGTGATTCGTGCAAAAGCAGAGCGGTGGTTGATGTGTAATAAAATCGGAGAGGACAAATTTAAAATTTAATCAACACTGAAACCAAATATTGTTTCTTTTATGGAAGTTATTCAATTAGTTCGCGAACTTTTTGATCACCCCTAGTATCTTAATTCAAAACAAAGAAAAAATAAATACAGACTGTTTTCTATAAATAAAAAATATCGATGGATGGCGACGGAATATTGCGTGTATTATTATTTAAGATTTAGACTTTGACAGATCTTTCGCAGAAAATAGCTTAATATTTATGCCTTTTATAATATTCCTTGAATTTCCCCCTTTTAGAAGTGGATTATAATTTCAGTGAAGATATGTCAGACCGATTTGCACAAATCAATTACAGGATTTCCCCCTTCATTTGTTTCAATATTCATGATGCTTTTAATTTGATCAAAGGCAAAAGGGAATTTCTTCAATACATGCTCCCCTGGTTTAAGTAGCACTATCTGCTCTAGCATTTTGAAATGTCCGATTGTGAAATAAAATAACTTACGTGACCCATTATAAAATAAGACTGACAAATCCAAATATATGAGTCCAGTATTTGAAAACGACACCCGCCTAATATCCGTATACATGCAGGGCCATATATTTGCTTAATATAAACCGAAATGCAAGATGATCCTTCATTTTTCGTAATTTGAACCTCTTATTATGCTAGAAATAAAATCATAAAAAGGGTTCATTGGGATTTCTATTTGAATAGTACTCGCTTGACTGTAAATTGATTGCATTCTCTCACACTTTAAAAACAAACTAGATTGATCAATTTCAAATTGAAAATCTGGAAAGTTATAAATCTATATAACAAACATATGACAATTAATCTCCTCCAGTTTAATTGATTGTAATATCAGACAAACCAGAGAGCTACAGGCTGATTTGTCTGACTGAATTTTCTTGAGCAGAGAGCTAAAGTCCTGCAGCTGACAAAAAGCAACACTGTTAAACGACCCTAATTCCCCCAAAGGAAAAGGATATTCATTTTATTTTCACATCTTTTAATTGAATTTTATATAAATGAACTTTCGTACTGCCTATATGTTAATCAAATCCACAATGTACGCTCTTTAGAATATGATTGAGGAGGTTATATGAAGTGAAAAACATAAATCTTATCTGGCGATAAAGATTTGATTTAAGAAAAAGATTGTCTTACTGAAAAACTTACTGAAAGAAGTTCTTCTTTGAAAAACATCAAAGGATTTTCATTTTAAACTGCATTTATATCAAATGTACTTTATACCGGCATAGTTAACATCAACATTCATCCAACTTAATTAAGTACAAGAAAATGATTGAGTGAGTTATTTTTATGGGTGGCCTACTAGTATTTTACAGCTTTCTAGAGATATAAAATCGGTTTCCGGGTCAATTGTCATACTTTGCATGCCTGAAGCATTAAATCAAACATCGTGGTATTTGAAAGTCATGGGCTTAGAAATAAATGATACAGAAAGATCCTGTTAAACACTGGTTACATAGAAGGATAAACTACGTGTATGAAGCAAATGGTGAATTTTAAAACTTACAAAAAAATTCATATGACATTTATTCAAATGACCTGAAAATTTCTTCAATTAATCCCAACTGACTATAACTAGTATATTACCTTTGCAAATTCACCAATAAGATAGATGCCATGTACAATCAATATCTAATATAAATCAAGATTGGGATCCTACCTAGGACCTGGAATGATGACTGTTGTTTTAATTTCTTATTGAATCTGAACACCAATACATGTCTACACTGCAAATATATAAAGCATTTTTGACCTTTTAATTTGAAAATAAAAAACATGTACTTACTTTCCATAGAAAATAAATCCAATTTCAAATCCATCAATGTCAGTCTCCAAGAAAAAGAGGCATTCACCTCTTCCTTATTCTAATCTACAAAACAAATTAAAAAAAATGTCCGTTATATAGCTTTCAGTAAAATTATAGATTCACAAACTTATTCACATTAAATGGCCAATTTCATGTACAGACAAGTTACTTGTTTTCTTCTTGGGACTGTAAATCAAATTTGAACTGCAACTTGCATAATTTTCTGATACTTTTTTGAAATACATCGCGAGGAAAAACTATTAAAAAAACAAAAGGGCCGGAGTGACACTCAATTTACCAATGGTTTACTCAATAAAGTAAAACAAGATTTATTTATTTTTAAACCAACAATTATGTATTCAGTTAGAATTATGTTGGTTCTGTATTTACTGCCATTCGGTATATTCACAATTTACAATATAGTCACTATTTCTTAAAACTTTTACATCAAATCTTAAGTAGTAAAAATCCATAAATCCATTTTTGAGAGGCAAAAAATTATTGCTAGCAATTACTGAACCGTTTTTGTTGACATGCAAGATAATAAGTTGCATATCAACATGCAAGATAAGTATGTTAACATGCAAGATACAGGTATGTAAGTTGCATATCAACATACGTATCTTGCATGTTGACATAAATTAAAGTTGCATGTTGATATAATTATCTTGCGTGTTGACACCATTATCTTGCAAGTAGACATAATTATCTTGCATGTTGACATAAATATGACGCATGTCTTCATAAATATGGTGCATATTGCATCTACATTGTATGATGTCAGATACTCGTGTTAGTAAGTAAATTTACCCATAATTTAAATTAGTTTCTTATAAAACTGTATGTCTACATAACCTACATTACCTTGCATATTGGCATCAATATAATTATGATGCATGTCTACACAGTATTGCATATTGCATGTTAACATAATTTATCTTGCATGTAGGGGGCAGAAATATGCCACCATGGTATAATGGTCCATATATTAGAGAATTTTTATTCACATACTGTTCCGGTGAATGACTCTAAATTTAGACCTAAAGTCGGCACCTAGGGCCATTGAACAGAAGGGTTTTCTATCAGAAAATTATATGGCGGCCCCATAATATTTATCTGGCGGTCGCCAGAAATTAAATGGCGACCGAAAATAATTATCTGGCGGTCGCCAGATCCATTCATCGGTCGGCCGCCAGTTACTCATATGGTCGCCAGATAAAATATCTTTTCTACCTGGCACCTACGGGCTTCCGTATATTATTGTATATTCGACAATATATTTATGTATTTTCTAATATCATTATTTACTATAACTGAAATGTTTATAATATCAAAGAGGATGTTATTTTTATCAGTTTAGAAAGAGCTAATGTTACTTACTGCATTCGATTTATAAAGGAATCACAATTTTTGCCATAATTCCCGAAGCTCGTAAAAACACTTTTCCATTTTTCCGTTCAAAATAACTGACATCATTAATCATTTACCATATCGACATGCTTGTAAACGTGTACAAGAGATGGAGCAAAAATCAAAGACCATCTTTCTGGAACAAGTACCCTGTTCTTTAGATCGATTTTTGTTTTTAAAAACACATTTTCATGTCTCGGTTAAGTGATCTTTTGGGGAAGCATCTATAATTAATCAAAAGGGAGTGTAAAGGTGTTTTAAAGGAGATTTATTATCCATTGTTCTACACAATACGGTTCTTGTCATTGCCAAGTATGAAAACCATTTTATATCTACCAATTGTCCATCAATAGAACTACAAATGATTAATTTATTTTCAATTATGTATGCTGATGCCACAGTATTAATGTCAGAAACACCAGAGGGTTTACAAAATATGTTAAATTCATTGTATTCAATTACAGTAGAGTGGAGTTTAACTGTAAATGTTGAGAAAACAAAAATATTAGTCTTTAGAAACAGTGGATATATTAGAGCTACTGAATACTGGGAATATGATAGGAATACTGTAGAAGTAGTTAATGAGTTTAATTATCTTGGTATGTTGTTTAATTTTAATGGTAAATTTGCAAAAACACAACAACATTTTGCATCACAGGGAAGAAAAGGCATGTATAGTATTTTTGAATAGAATGAAAGACTTGAATTTTAATGTTAAAACACAATTAGATATGTTTGAGACTTTTATTAGCCCTGTACAGTTTATGCGTCTGAAATTTGGGGATGGCACAAAGGTAAAGATATAGAAAAAGTACATCTTTCATTTTGTAAAAGAATACTTAAGGTTAGACAGAATACATATAACAGTATGGTATATTGTGAATTACGTAAATTTCCTCTTGAATTGGTAAGGGAAAAAGAAAATCCTTAAATACTGGTTAAAATTAAGAAATAGTGACAACTGCATTCTTCAAGCATGTCTACAAGAAAGGTTAGAAAATAATGATGACTGGATTGTAAATATTAAAAATGAATTTCATAGGCTTGGTTTAGCAGAACCATTCAATAGCAATTGTACAAACAGTAACACAATTGATATTTTACAGCAGAGAATTTGTGACGAATTTATCCAAAATATTATGTCAGATTTAGGTAAATCACCAAAATGTCTCATTTATCAACACCTTGTGGATAATTTTACCCTTCAGTCTTATTTATGTAAACCAATACATCTAAAATATAGATTAACAATTACCTGCAGATTAAGACTATCAGCGCATGACTTAATGATTGAACAAGGAAAATATACTACAACTTTGAGAAATAATAGAACATGTAGTCTTTGTCAATTAGGTAACATAGAAGATGAATTCCATTTTGTGTTAATATGTCTACATTACAACATGTTAAGACAAAAATACATTAAAACCTACTACTCCCGAAGACCTAACGTCCTTAAATTGGTACAGTTAATTAGTACTCAGAATATAAAAGAATTATGTAAATTAGGAAAATTTTTGCAATTAGCAAGTGCATCAAGAACAGTCTCCTTATCAAATTTATAGATTATCAGAAATATTATATGCTTTGTCCATGTACGTTGTATGTTTATTTCATTATTACATATGTTAAAATGTGTGATTGTAAATATTGTCTATGAGATTTATGTTTCTCGACTTCAATAAAATGAACTAAACTGAAGTATGTTTAATTACAGAATTTAGACTTCAGAGAAAAAGATGTAATTGCAGTACATTACTATTATTGGGACTTCTTAAATTTGCTTGACTTAAATTAATACTGTAATAATATACAGTTAATCTTTTAACTCGTATAGATAAATTAATATATTCTATATAAAGAATTTCAATCTCATGACTGCAACGTCTATCGGTTGATATGCAAATTATGAAACGCCATTTATGTTATTTGAAACTTTCATGACGTTTTTTTCGTTCCTCAAAATTGCTTGGACTTTCAGTGAAACTTATATTATCTTATCTTTAATCGGGTCATATTTCCACTTGAAAAAAAAAATACTTCAATTTTACAGATCTTGATCAAAATCAAAAATGAAAATAGAGATGATATACAGAAGACACAAAATTTATCTGTTACTTTGTTCATCATAAAATAAAATTAATCATTCTTTGATCTTAAATACGGAAATAAAAGCTTCCTTAAAACTTTTTTTTCAAAAATAGACAAAGATTTCTTTTAAGAGAAGAAAAAATGGATATGAAGAAGAAACAGGACGAACATCTTTGTGGAACTTAGAATGAAATCAAGAATGTAATGCATGTAGCTAATCCTTTATTGAGCTGAAGGCCATAAAACACTGAAGGACACTATACCAATAACTGTACCTAATAAAGATTTTTTGAACTCAGCAGAAATCGGTGGACTAAACGAGACCAATCTAGAAAAAAATTTTTGGTATTAAACACGAAACCACTCTGTGTATGGTACCTTGTTTTGACGCAATGTAATACACAAAGGGAACTGATTTCTTGATATCAGTTTGAATAGCTTACGTAACCTATACAAAAGAGGAACGGTTTCTTGATTTGAATAGCTTACGTAACCTACACAAAAGAGGAACGGTTTCTTGATAAGAGTTTAAATAGTTTAAAGCTTTACTGTTTTGAAAAAAAAACTTGTGATATTATGCGTAAGCAATACTTTTTTTTAATGTCTTAATGTCTCAATAATATTTGCTCATTATACAGTATATATATTGCAAAATGTAGATGTTCTAGAAAACTTTTTCATGCATTTGTAGGATTTTTGTCATTTATAGACCTCTTATGGACTTCTATACGGAAGCCGATTGGTGCCAAATAGAGAAATCTTTTTTGGGCCGCCAGATAACTTTTTTCTACCTAGTACCTAACTTCTTTCGTAGACTTCAAATATAAACCTCTCCGTTAAACTAATAAAACAACATTCTTATATCAATGTGTAAAACTAACAAGTTTTTTTGGACAAGAAGTATGCAACTTTCTTCGTAAGGCGAGAGTGTTGATTTGCTAAAAGTAGAATGTGCTAGGACGATGCTTTTATATATACAACCCCTTACCTCGAAAATCTTTTTTTTTTTAAATTTAAATGAGCTTTAAGGATATTTTTGTGCAATACATCTTTGACAATTTATGACCCAAACATACTTTTGATGGCCTACGAACAATACAGATTTTTTAAAAAAAGATTTGCTCCGTTGTCGCTGGCAACAGGCAACAGACCCTCTCCTGTTTTATGCTGTTTTGCATTACTAAAAATTAATAGTGCAATGTTATTTTCTTCTTCATCATGTAACATACATGTATTTAAATATCTTTACCAAAAATGAAAGACAGCGTTACAAAAATTTTATTTCTGTAGAATTTTATCTGAAAATATGCCGATTTTTAGTTCTGACCAACAGTTATGTTCGAAACGGGGCGTTTTTTTTTTGGTTTAAATGTTGCTCGAGTTATGATATGCTCGATTTAATGATGATACGGTCAACCGTGGCACATTTTGATAATCCTCGAAACCTGTACCTGGTTTTCAAATGATGTGAGAGTTATAAATCAGCTTTATTTTGCTAACTCGAATTTAAAAAAAAACTTTTGTATGATTACTTTTTAAGAATCTTATTTACATTCACTGGCAGATTGTTTTATGAGAAAAAAATGAACTTTCGAAAACAACACCTTACGACTAAATTACCTTTATACCTCGAAATTAATGAATCAAGTGGTTTAATTTACTTTCATTTTAAATTTACTTTATATTCTTATTTACTTTAAAAACTCTTTGTACATTTTGAAATTGTAATCTTGCAATAATTGATATCAAGAGAAACTGTAATAAAGAACTTCATTTGTAAGTCCATGCACATTTATTTGTTTTATTTTTTATTACAAATACATTTGTTTATAGTCATTTTTTGCATCCATACAAGTAATTCTAAATAAAATTATTGATTTCATTGCATTCTCTATGTGTTGTGTTAGTAATAATAATAATAATCTTTATTGCCCAAGACATACATCTTATAGCATTAAGTAAATATAACAAACATCAAATAATAAGTTATGTGGCATGGTAATATATGTAGTATATAATGGTAGAGAGTAACAAACTTAAACAACATTGAGTTTATACATATACTTTAGACAGAAAATGATTTTTTGACACTTTCACGTACTTCAAAAGCATGGTGGAGGTAAATACCTAAATTGCACAGTTCCTTGAAGTTTTTTTTACACTAAGCAGCTGTATTAATTTGAAAACTGTTAAATTAGGAAGAAAGAGTCATTAGGCATTTTGATGTGCCTACACATGTATGAAATTTGTGGGGGTTTTTATCGCTGTTTGGCACATTATTGCCAAATAAAAAAAAATATGGAAGAAATAAATTAAAACCCTGATACAAACACGAACTTTCTCAGAATGCACTTAGACACTATGTATAAAGTACTAGCATGTGAAAAAACTACATGTATGTCATTTATAAGTGAATGATTGGGGATTACATCTATCAGTCGATTCGATACGCAATAGCATGTTCTACGTACATGTATGAACAATTATAAGTTGATGAAACAAGAAAATCAGTAGTCTCGTTTAAAGTGTCGTAAGTTCTTTGATAGATACGATGCCCTTGTCAGAAAATGCAATCTATAATTAAATCAAATGCTAATTGACGTTTTTCAAACTAATTGTTAGGCCATTATTTACATACTGAATTGTCGCTGGTTTTTCAGTTTTCTCTCGATCATGACAAGGAGCACACGGCGGATTTGACCGTCCATAGGGGATGCTCACTCTATATATGGCAGCTGATCCCACCTCTGATGTTTTAAGGGTCCGTGTTTGCTCTGCTTTACAATTTGTATTGTTTAATTGACTTTTGGTTTTGAATAGTGTTCGTTATCTTTGAATATTTCACTTATTCTGGTTTTAGATTTTAATATCACTTTCAGACTTTGAATTCTTTGAACCAACTGTTTCCCACATTTAGAAGCACTTTTAAAGAGAAAATGCTTACTTCTTTTTATGAAGTTGATATTCATTTATTCAAAACATCAAATTTTTCAGCTTGGTTAACAACAGCAAAAGCAAAGGCTTCATTATTTAATTGCAACATTTTTATGCTTAAATGTAAAGAGCTATAAGTTTGCATCAGATATGAAAAAAATGAATAAATAATCCATATTTTAACTTTCTAACGAAAATCTATTTCTAAAATATCAATAACAGTATAAAAAGTTTACTTGCTGTGCAGGTATTCAAAGACCAGCTAGTGTGATAATATATATAGAGACGGAATGAAGTATAAAGGTAAATGCAATAGGGCTTAAGAGGCACCCGCCGTTTAATTTTCAGTAAAACTTTACGGTAAATAGATCTTCTGCATGAAAGAACAAGAAAACCTAGATGTTGCTTGCTATCATTTTTCGCCCGGAAAACTCTATTTGTAAATTATTTTATTATGGTGTTGGTAAATATTGATACATTTATAATAGATAATTAGGCAATGTTACTATTGCAAATGAATATTTTGCGAGATGCAGACTAGATACACTAGGAGGCATTAACTATATGTGTTTTTCTCTTTTCAAAAGATTTTGTATTCTTTAAAAATTTTTAAAGATTGACCTTTGATCGTTATCTTCCCTATTTTGATGCAGCTACGTAACACTGTGTAAGGAGGAACCCATTCCTTTGGGCTGTAACATTCAGGTGTCGTAACCTCTTCATAATCACAGTACACTGGAGAAATTCATTAACTTAAAGTACGAACGAATTGTAAAATGTATGACAATCAAAAGCAATTACTTAACAGCTTAAAACAAGTTCAGACCAATATCAACAGTTTAAAAAGTGGGGATGCCAACCCCACCCAAATCCCTACAACAAAGATCAGACAAAAAATAAACTGTCCTACATGGATAATGTGATTCCGTGGAGGAAGTGGGTGGTGAGTGTGTGTTGGACCTTTGTCACATCTTTTCTCACAATCCTGTTCGACCTTACAGTAACAAAAATGGACGGGGTGGGTGGGTTGGAAAGAGCAACCAGCGTCAAAATGAAAAATGTTCGATTGCAAAAGACTTTGCTCAGAAATAACCCCGCCCCATCTCCTTCGACTTCTTCGGGCCTACATTATCACTCACATGAAATTTCTCTGGACCCGAGCCTCTCTATACACTGTACCAACATTCACGCCACTGTAATCAGCAGTGGAAAAACAAGTACGGAATCAATACGATACACAGACCTTTACCGACCTCAATCAAATGGCTACAGAAGAACTACGCCGGTCGTCGTTCTCTTTTGATAAAGAAGACTGACTATGGTTTGCCCCTTTGCAATTAAAGTATAATATTTACTTCATAGATTATGGTACAGATATATAATTAAGATGTTATCCTATACAAACTGACTGCAAAATCAGGTAAAATTATCAAATGAATAACAGTTACTTCTGTTATGATATTTCATAGTCTCTGCATGGATTTGTAATAAAAAAAAAGAACTGAGTGATTTACGTAACTTTGATGATCTTCATACAGATAACAAATACATGTATTATTTAACAGCTTTGGGGCTTTCGAGAGTAAAAATCAAAACCACTGCTGGTGATAAGAAAATGGGGAAGAGCATTAAGAATGGTATGCATCTGATAATTATGTATTTGTTTTTTCAAGCTTGAAGGTTTCTTTCTGGATATTGCTTGTTAGATAAAATGCATAAAACATCAAGAATTCACAATTTTCAGTAGCAAAACGTACAAAACTTCAATTTTGACACGTATTAAATATATCTCACTTGTGCAAAAGCAAGGGGCTTTTCCCGTCCCATCTCATCACATACAAAAATCATGCATTTCGTGAATATTTGTTTTTAATAAATTTGAAATTGTATGTTAGTCTTACTTTGGAGAGAAAAATATCCAACAAATCATCCGTCATAGCTAGGAGTCGAGGATTAGTAACATCTATCCTATATACCCTGCTGCTCTACCCTGTAAATATTTATTAAATCCGGATTCTGCAATCGCCAACAAACCCTTTAATACTCCGCCATAAAGAGCCAATAAATTGACAACTCGAAGGTCCGATTTAAATGAGAGAAAAAAATCACTGGTGTCTTCTGGTTGTTTATATTGACAGTCAGTCGTAGCAGAAAATCAAAGACCAAAACATGCTTTAGAAATCCATTTGAATTGATTTTCATCGAGAGGAAAACAAAATAAAAATATTTGTAGATTCAAATTCGGTTACCGGTTATTTCATCTATAATCCATTAAATGAAGCAAATCAAAACCAATAAATGAAAGTAACCCCTTTATTCAAACGAAAAATTCATTTAAAGTTTCAAATGCAATATCCGAAAAATAGCCTAGGTTTTAGTCTGTGATTAATTAAGTAAAAAATTAAAAGCTGACAAAGATAGACTAAATATCTTTTTAATTAAGGATTTCACATCTTATAAATTATGCTTAATTCGACAAAAAATTTCACTCATTTTCTTGTTCAGTATCTGAAAGCAGTAAACAAGATTGATTTTCTTGCACACATTTCCTCTTGTACGAACATTTTTTTTATTTATTTATTGTCGATACCTTGGCCAATTTGTATCGCTATAAATGAATTCGCACATACTGTAATACGGTTTGTTCCCGTTTTGCACACATTTGAATTTCAGGCATAGAAATAATGTGTTCTAAACGGGAATTTGACCAGGTGAAATAAATACTTAATTGTTATAGTCTGTACTATAATTGATAAATAGGGGAAAAGTGAATCTATAAGGGTAGAATTGTAAAATAAAATAAGAAATAAAAAAAAATGGTCATGTGCATCTCAAGTTTGGATTTATTTCTTTTCTTTAATACCAAAATGGCAAAATAAAAAATTTATGCTATTAAATAATTAAAATCATGTCCTAATTGAGAAGGGTTGAGTGAGGTTATGAATTTTCAGCTTTAAAAACCTATTTTTCAAGAAATGGCAGTTATTTTTTTCTAAATATAATTAATTAATTAATATTGAATAAATTCCTTTTTTCAACTAAAATATTAGTGTTCTTCCTTAATAGATTACACAGGTAAAATACATGTAAACCCTAACCAGAAATCGGACTATAATTGTTATCAAAACACATTTCACACCTATTGTTCTTTACCTAATTATCAAATGTGTGCAAAACGGGAACACAATATGTAGATTCCAAAATATGTTTAGATAACACTTAAAAAATTAGGCTGTAGTAAACTAAAGGAATACACCCCAGATCATACATTTTACCAGATTCTGTTATTTCAATTGTATAGGGAAGGAGGAAAGAGGGTGGGGAGACAGGAACCTCTATTTGTTTTTTTTAATGGCGACTTTAAAATTTGCTTTTATTTACTGAATATTTAGAAATTGTAGTGATGGGTTATTTTTGAAGGTCGATCCAACTCACGCATAACCATACGTCAGCAGAAGACCGGATCACGATTACTGAGTTAATGGTGTACGTTGCTAAGTAAGCAAGGTTGTAAATAAACAATTGCGGAATCTGATCGCTCTGACAGATCGATGGGTTAATGGTCACATTATGAAATATTGCAAAATATTTATGAGGCAGAAAAATTGAAACCCGAGTACCTTTGTTTCCTCATTATTTTAGAATATCGTTAAATTCAATATTGATATTCTGGGATTCCAGATATCTGGCATAACAATAAGGTCAAAATCAATGCACGGTTTGTAATACTTATATTAGATATTCCTTAATTACATATTAAACTGTTTTGTGGAATTATTTAAAATATATTTAAACTCTATACTCAGGGAATTTAACAAAAAAAGATAAAGTTCATCATGCCAAAGTGTCAGCATGGTATACGCAACTTATTGGATCCAAGATGCTAAGTGTTGTGATTTTAAGCATACATTTCAAATATTACAATACAGAGAAAAGGGCCAAGACTCAGTGACACATTCAGAAATAAGAACGAAAATCTGAAAGCATTTTAACTTTTTTATTTTTAAAAAGCTCGAATGGCTATTAATTTTGAGTTAAGAAAATTAAAAGGGTTGTATTGCATTGGTACTAATTGAATGGATATTTTAAACAACGAAGCAAAAAGAAAAATGAAAATAAATAATTAAATTCTTTTCACTTACACTTATTTACTATTGATCTGAGTATTCAGTTGCAAAATACCAGAAAAGGTAGTCCGATCCTCAGGTTCATAAAATTAACAGTTCAGTAATTGAAAATTCCCATAAAAATATCCCTGAATCCACAAAGTAATGTAAATTTACCCACACATTTTCTTTGAAATTAAACATTAAAGTTAATTATTTATGTTTTTTAGGGGAAAATTGTGAAATCTTCAATATTTATGCAGAAAAAGCGAATAAGAGTATCAGTTATGCATTTTCTTTTTGCAAATTTATCAACAAATATATTTTAGATTAAAAAACAATAGGTATCCAGGCATTCAGAGAAATTGTCATAATTTTTATACGTATTTAGTATTCTATGTCTTCTGTTTCCTTCATGTTTTATATAAATACACAGTGTAAAATGCTTTTGCTTTCATTGCAAGACATCACAAATCACTTCTATTTTCATATAATGCTAATTAGCGTTGGTACATTGTATCTAAGGCTCGATCAATTCAAGAAAATCTTATTTCTCTAATTTATTTATTCTTTTTATAGGGTAAACTTGTTAACTTTTTATAAGACCTTTTCTAAGACTTCCAAACACTTTGAATCATATAAAGATGAATAAAATGAAATTTGTTGTATGAAAAAATTTCATTTTCAAGCTTCATAATGACGCATTTTAAATAAAATTTTTGGAGCTATCCTTCCTAGCTGAGGATCGGATATCCTTAAATAGTTATGAATTACTTGCGTTAAATTTAGATTCTGTAAAAGTATTGCATTTTGCTGTGTATTCTTTTTAGCGTCTGTCTGTCTGTTGTTCTGATATCTCAAGAAGCCAATGCGTTTTTGCGATGCCATTTAATACTACAACTCCCTATGGTGTAAGCAACACCTCTATTTATTTTCTCCATTTATTTTTTCTTGTTTAAAGTCATCATTTTGTAAAATCTATGCTCGATACAGTGGCCTTATCGGCAAATACAATTAATCATTGAGTCAAATGCTGACTGACGTTTTTCATACTAATTGTTGGTCCATTATTTATACACTGCATTGGCGACGGATTTTTCTGTTATTTCCCGATCATGACTAGGAGCACACGGCGGGTGTGACCGGTCGGCAGGGGATGCTCACTCCTCCATGTCACCTGATCCCACCACTAATGTTTTGAAGGTCTGTGTTTGCTCTGCTCCTATTTTGTATTGTTTTATGTTTGATCTTGAATACTGTTCGTTATCTCTATATGTTTTATCCCTTTTTATTTTTAGGTCAAAATGCCAAAGATCAAGGTCGTAAATGCACACATTCTGTGTGTAAAAGTTTCATTTCCGGACGATCAACCAAGAAGCTATCATCATGGGTAGATATCATTTATTTCTTGAATAATTTGAGAGCCATGCAATGAAACTTGTTGCTCGAAAAGTTTTTCCCTTTTTATTTTTAGGTCAAAATGCCAAAGATCAAGGTCGTAAATGCATACATTCTGTGTGTAAAAGTTTCATTTCCGGACGATCACCCAAGAAGCTATTATCATGGGTAGATATCATTTATTACTTGAATAATTTGAGAGCCATGCAATGAAACTTGTTGCTCGAAAAATTAAATAATTGTCAGAATTTTACTTTGACTATGCATATTACAAATCATATGACATTAACTGAAAAACAAAATTCAAATCGTTTGCTGAAATTTTTGTCTAAATAAACTGCTTTTACATTACTTTTAGAGGTTGTCTCAACGTCCACCCCAACACTAATAGGATATGTAAATTTGACATGTCAAAAGATGTAATATACAGTTTTCAGAAATAACCAAATATGAAAAGCGTTAAAAAGTTAAGATTTAAAAGAATCCCACTGTCGGGACCTGGATACTTGTTCTTTCGGATGAATCCGTATAAACCGAGGTCCCGTGTTGCAGTAGGTGTAGGCACGAAAAAGATCCCTCACTGCTCAATGGCCTTCAGTGCAGTGTATTGGAAAAATGTGCAGCTCTCCACCGGCAAATGCTGGTGTCTCCATATGAGTGAAAAATTCTCGAGAGGGACGTTAAACAACAGCAAAAATATTTTACATGAATTCTCAAAAGTCTAGGAATTCATTGCAATTATTTGTAAAAGTACATAAAAAACAGAAATTAAAAATGCAAGGCTTAAATTCTTCTTTTTTTTTTTGATGGACGTCAACATTCTTTAGATTTAAATGTATAAACATATTTCTAAAGCAAAACAATATTTTTACCATCTATTTAAATCTCTAAAATCTGATTTTTTAATATTTCAAGTAGAATTTATAGAGAAAAAAACCATGAAATTCCTATTGAAAAAGCATACATATTCACGAGAATCAACCTTTCAAAATAAAAGCATCATAAAAAATCTTATGAAAAGCAAAATGCAATCTGAGATTACTTACACCCGCCTGGAAAATATATTCGCAATAGAATTTTTTGTAAAAACTTATGCAGAGAATTTGTCACAACTCGTCTCGAATTGTAATAGCTAAAAATACATCATTGTTTTTGAATCGGAGACCGTTTGCCCGAGAAAAATTTGGAAAACCCAAAGGTATACCGGTTAATTCCGTCACCTGCTATTTTTTTCCTGCTATAACTGTAATTTAACATTCATCAGTGCACAAAATCTGTATGCAAGATTTTAATCATTCTCAAAAAGGCATATGCAATGTAATAACAGTCTGTTTTAATTGGTTTTAAAGGGTTTTAGCTCACCTGAACTACAAAAGGCTCAGTCGAGCTATGTTCATATCGTCTGTATGTATCTTGTATATATTGTCTAATTTCAGCTTCTGTAGATCATTTGGACTAATTTTAATTAATCTTGTAACAAAGAATCTTCCTCAAAATTCAGATGTGTTTACAAAAAGTTATCTTCTCTGTAAAAAGAAAAAAAGCCTCTAGTGAAATATATGCTTCTCTAAGGAGTACTACAATGTAAAACCTTATTTAGTGTTCCTTCATTAGTGTTCGTTCATTTGATGGTCCATACAAGAAGTCGAATCCATACATGTGATTGAGGTGACCTTAAATCTATCACATGTTTCTTTTAAAGAATAGTGGGTCCATACGGATCAT